GAATGATATAGTTTTAAGTGAAAAATAAGAACTTGCAATTCTTTTGAATTAGCGGCGCCTTAAGTAGAAAATCACGAAGAGTTTCCAAAGCCATCGAATTTGTACAGATGTTCTAAATGTTGAAACAAATAGATATCAGATAAGTGATTAGCATCAAAAACTATCCACAATTAAGGATGCTTCATGGAAAGATCGAAGTCACACTTATTAGTATTTCCTCGTTAGTGAGAAGAAAATGTTGATTGTATATTGTAGGACGAAGGTGTTCGCATTTACATATTGCTGTTTAAAGAATTTCCTTATAGTCTAAGTATCGATAGTTTATATACTAAACGTGCATTCCAGGCTAAAAAGAGAAATAATATTAAGGTATAAATAGGATGTTACTCTAATAAACATGGGATCTAACAAATCTTTTATATTCAAGGTTATTCGACATCCCGAACATAATACAATCTCTGGCAAATCCTTATTATGGGCTCATCATGAGAAATTTGTCGTTATTGATCAAAAAATTGCTTTTGTAGCCGGCATTGATCTTTGTTATGGACGTTGGGATGATGATCATATGAGGTATACAAAAGTTTAGTTTAAAAAAGAACTCGAATTGTTTTCCTTTTCGTTCTTCTAACTTTTTGAAATTATGGTTTTCAGGTTCAGCATTAAAAGCTCAGTATGAGGATGATGCTTGCTCGAGATCGAAGTCAAAGGCCTATTCAATATGGACGTATTAGACTCCCGTGTGAAAAGTTCATTCACAGCTTTGCAAGAGATGAAGTCGACCTTTCTAACGGGTGAACCATAAAGAATGTTGGTCTTAGTATTTCGTTGATATTTCACTCAGTTTTCATTGTCAAAACTTTAACTTTTTTTAAAAGATTCGTCGTTTCATTCTCTACAAAAAAAACATATTGAACGGTTTTTTATATACCGCAGAAAAAAAGGAAGATAGATGAAATACTGCGAAACTTCAATTTCCATTACTTTCTAACCCTAAAACACAACGAAAAGATATTTATTTTGAACATGAAGCTATGCAACAAACCAGAATCAAAACGTATGTGTTGGTGGCACGAAGTATCGTTTTTCTTGTCATGTATCAGAGGTTGTCTTTGAATGTGTTTTTCTGGTATAAAATGCAATTTTACTACAGTCTACCAAAAAAAAGTAGACTTTCCGTCTTTTCGCCTTCTCAGTAGAAATGAAATCGAACGTTCTCTGTTCGGATGTAACTAGAAGAATTAATCTGTTTTAAGATAAGACATAGCGAATCTCAAAATATTTGATTTTGACCGATTTATAGAAATTTTCGCAAACGCCACAAAAACTGCAGCTTGAAAACGGCGATTTTTGATAAAATCGATATAAGCAAAAGTTTCTCCTATAACGAATTGCTATATGAAGAGTTTTAAATATAGTCAATTGGTAGAGCTTTTCAAGGCCTACAAAACGGTCATCTTCTCTTATTCTGTATCGCAAAACATAAAGAGCTAGAATTGAAAAACTGATTTGGGGGTTAGAAAGCAGTGGAAATTGAAATTTCGTAGTATTTCACCTATCTTCTCTTTTCGGGAATATAAAATAATCTGTGGTATATAAAAAACTATTCAATATGTTTTTTGCAGAGAATGAAACGACGAATCTTTTAAAAAAAGCTAAAGCGCGGATGATGTTGTAATCAAAAGTTATGAGAGTTTCGCTAGTAGCCCTAAAATAGACATCAGACGCTAGCTCCACCGAATCTCGAAAGCGGTGTTCACCTTCACAGCGTTTCGTAGCTGCAAGATTTGTCGGTGACGAAACGTCATGAAGAGCTTTGGAAGGTGTTACGATGACGAAAGCACATGTGACTAAAGGTTATGTAGCTTATTTGAATGATATAAAAACTCGAGCTCGAGAGAACATGGAAAAAAAGTTTCTGAGAAATTAAAAAATATATTTTCTTACTCAGTTCGATGAGCCTTATCTAACGATGTATAATAAATTAGAAAATCTTTTTACTGCAAATTTGCATTACGCGCACCTTACCGATATTGTTTCTTGAAATATCATTCAGTAAAGATAGTAGCAATCGTACGTACACAACAATTATTGATTTTTTATTTCAAAAATCGAAGCTTTCGATTATAATCTGTAATCATCATCAGCTATAGTTTGTGATAAAAAACGCAACTATATATACATTCATTCGTTTTCTCATTATTATTTTTTCCTTATTGTTAAACTAAAGCTGATGATAATTGCAGATCGTAATCGAAAGCTTCGGTTTCTTCGAATCGAAAGCTCCACAATTATCAGAGAAAGATATATCTTCGGTCTCTCCAAAGACAGAAAAAACTGACAGAAGAGCATAAAACGCTCTGAAAACTATGTGCTGTAACGGAATGTCAAGTCCAAAATTAGGTGAGACTGAGCCTCAACTGACGGAAATCAGGTGAGTCTTAGTGGGTGCGCCGCCTATGGGTCAGACAAATATCTTTATGCAAATTAAATTAGACTTTTTCGGATTTTTTACTTTGAACGCTTATCGTTATTTGCGAAATTAAAATATGAAAAATCCGGCTCAGTTAGCTTCTACTCACTTATGTTTCGTCATTTAAAGACCTTCCCGAGCTCTCTATGATCTTACATTACCGAGAAATCTTGCAGCTACGAACAGGCCCATTTTGACCTCTAATTAAGCGGCATCTCTAAAGCGGTGATAGATGACTTCGCCAAAAGTTTACGGAAAAAGTTCAATCATAAGGTCAACACATTGTATGAAAGTTCGGTTGTAACTCACGGTTACCGAGATGCGTTTTTGACGTGGGGGCGGGGGCCTTAATATCACAGCAGACAAAGGAATAAAACGGACAACGTCATTCTTCTCATTAAAAACTTGATTCGTTTGACGGTTCTTAGTATCGTTTTATGTGACTTCTCTTTTTCACATTTTTTAATAAAACACTTAATACATTTTCTGTAGAGAACTTCAGTACGGATCTTTTTCAATAAAATTAGCTCTTCCGTTTGTATGCAAAATACGTTATAACTAAAATACTAAGAGAAACATTTTTTTTACTCATTAGTTAAATACACTGTAGAGTTGAATAAATAGGTTTCATATATGTCTCACATCTCTCAACTCATTTTACTACCATGTTTTTCTCCCTCTTATTCGTATGTTGCATTAGGAGCCGGTGAGTAATTTTTCTGACATTGATTATCTTGTTTATCACCTGTAGTAATAAAATATGTACTGGGCGGGGGGGGGGGGGGCCGGGGGGGCGCGGCGGGGGCCGCGCGGCCGGGGGGACCCCGGCCGCGCGCCCCGGCGGGACGGG